ATTGTCTTCGTTCATGGATCTGATGTTATAGGTTCCTACATTTATTTTTATCGAATATATGCCTCCTCCAGAATCCTTGAGACAAACCAGTTTCCCGGTGTGGGATTCCGAGTTAGTAACTCTACCCACCTGGGATCCTATTCCGTTTGTTTCATAATTAGACATGTTTCTAATGATATGTGGAAAAACATCCTTTGCATAATGCTGCATTACATTTTTGACAAATGAGATTATTCTTCTACTGATTCTAACTTTAAGTGCAGTTAACACATCTACAGTAAGTAACTTTGGATGGTGAATGACAACTTGCATTAACATGATTAGGTCTTTTTGACTTGCCAATATCATTATTACTTAGTCCAGACGGCTTTATTGATTTGAATAAACCGAGAAGGTAATCTGCTAACTAACTTTTTTATTGGAGCTATATAAGCTATTAACTGTTGAGGCAGGAAGTAATATATTATAATAAATGGAAGTAAAAGAGAGCCTCAATCTTCTGGACTTTCATTACATTAAATAGATCTACGTCATTTGATCAAAGTGATCCACTCTTCTCTTGTTCACACCCTCCATCTGTTGATGTTTCCAGAATATTAATTTTCTCTTTGAAATTGTGCATGTTGCTTAACACTGTTGAACACTTTTTCTCACGATCTTTTTATTTGTAAACTGAAATGTTGTCACTAGCTACATAAAATAATCAATTGTCATCAGATAAATGTTGCTTTTGGTTGCTTTTTTAGATTTTCTTAGTGTGTCACAAGCAAACAGATATTTTTCCAAGAGCTTATTGAATAGAAGCAGTGCAAAAAAGATTGTCAAAATAAAAACAATATCCACGATTTTGAAACTGATGATTCTAGTAGTAAAACTAGTTAGATTTGCCTTGATAGATCTACGAAATTAATAAGATTTTGCACAGAACATCGCCCATATTATTCTTCCTTTCTTCACTGACTTTATTGGGATATATTGTTTTAAATCATTTCTGCCTTAAAATAATACTTTCGTTGATTGGCAAATTTTTTGATAGTGGTTATGCTTGAGAATATTTTGTTTTAAAATGCGTAATGAGAAACATTTTACCACCCTTTTTACTTTTAAAAAAGTTACTAAGCTGACCAGCTGGATTTAATTTTAGCTAAAGTATGAGGACCCAAAATTACCAGGATGCAAAAAAGGCTTGGCTTTATATAGTATTATTTTGATAACAATTATGGCTTATTCGCATTAAAATAGTAATTAGTTTAAAATGCCATGAGAAAATAGGTTCGGATCTATATTTATATAAGTTAATTTAGTGGAACTTGTCTAGAATATTCAATATTTAATACATATTGTTGATAATCTTCTCTAAATAAAAAAAAACCGTTCCCATCTCTACTATAGACCGGTATCCGCGGAAATCAAGGGCAGCTGCGGTTTCTATATTCGATCCAATGTCCATGTGTCTGAAGGATATTGATTGATACACGACAGACTACTTGACAGGGGCAGTTGCAATTAAATCTATGATTTATTTCGTTTTTCGTTTTCAGATATTCGAAAAATTTTGCTGATACTATACTAATTAGATATAATACCAAGCGGTCAGTCTGTTTCTTTGGCTCTCGTTAAAGTATCTTTTCCATTATTTTTTCCTGTTGTTTTTATTATTGGCAAGTAATGACATCCTTTGCGATCACAATAAAAAATAAAAATAGGTAAGGCATTAACAGTAACCGACAAAAATTATCATGATATAATGCTCATTTTACAAAAATACTACGTTGATGTTGGATATGAAAATACATTTAAAAAAGTAATTTACGTCTTCCATAACTAAAGAAAATTAAATTAGGATGCGTAATTAGCAAAGTAATATTGGATTTTGCCATTCATGCTCATGTTTTCTATTTTTAATCTATTGAAATACCTATAAACTTGTCTTATCAGATATATTTGAATGTCAAGCTTCGATTATAAAGTCAAAATTTTGGGTTGGCTTGATCGAATTAAAAATCTAAATTAAAAAAAAATGTAAACCATATAATTATAAGGCGCCCAATTTTACACTTCATACCATTTTTTAATTTCTAGAAATGCTTCAACAAGGCGAACTGTCATCATCCATGGAGTCTTTGTCCTACGACTCTTCCGTGACATCGCCGGCCTCTAGCAACGGTCATCAAAGTCAAAGGACAAAGAGGATGAGAACCTCCTTCAAACACCACCAGCTGAGAACAATGAAGACCTATTTCGCAATCAATCAAAATCCTGACGCGAAGGACCTTAAACAATTAGCTCAGAAAACTGGACTGTCGAAAAGAGTGTTGCAGGTAAAGATTTTACTATGACAAGTTAATATTCTTTTTCTATTACTAGGAATTATGCAATATGTGTGTCTGTAAGAGAACGCAATATTTAAATATAAATTAGACGGTACCATTGCTGAAAACTTTAAAGAAAATATTTTTTGATTTTTGTATTGAATTCATTATATGACAAAAAAATAAATTCGTTAGTCAACATCTCAGATCTGATCGATCTAATCGCAAGCGTTATTCGTCTTTGTAAGTCTGCTACGTTAGTGGGTTTAGTTTTGTATATAATACTTTTTATATATTCCCACAAGAAAAAGTTTAACGGCGTCAAATCGGGGAATCGTGGTGGCCATTCCATCGATCCTCGCTTCCCTATCCACCGATTTGAAAATATTTGGTTGAGGTACTGCCGGATATGGATTTGGTAGTGGGATGATGCCCCATCTTGTTTAGACTATATCATATTTGCTGGAACTTATGAGTTTCCTGAATCAGGATACAAGTTGGCCAACGTTGGCACTACATTATTTTGGAAGAATGCTAAATAATTGTCGCCATTCAAATTGTGTCTATGTAAAGGGACTTATGATCTGATGTTCAATAATTCCTGTTCACACGTTAACCTTCTCAGAGTATTGAGTATTGCCTTTTCTCTATTTTGCCGATTAGCATGACCGTGAAGAGTAAAGGTGCACTCATCAGAAAAAACATGTTCTAGTTGGATCACATTGCTGTCTAATATTGCCAACATTTATTTAAAAAAATACGTTCACCTGTCAAAATCATCTTCCGTGACCTCCAGCATGTGTATAATTTTATAGGGATGCATTTTGTTTTCTTGTAATATTCGACTAACCGATGAATATCTAATATCGAGTACTGGGGCTGCTTTTAGAAGAGATGGGTACTCCTCAAACTAAAGTCAAACTGCCAATTTGGTATACTCACTTATTGCATTGGCAGCTTATTTTTTACCTTCCTAACATGGCCCAGCTCGTAGAATTGCTTTTCAATTTTACTAATAGTCCCATGAGATATGTTCGGCAAATCAGAAAATGCTTCGTGAAATAAAGGAGCTCTTCCATTTGCGTACGTGTCTTATCTTCATAGCCAATCATTTCTGTTAAATGAACCATTTTTCTGACTTGCGGTTAATAAAATTCAACGACTATAGCACTTATCTCCCTTATTATTTAATATCTATTCGGAGTTCATAATGCGCAGAGTTTGCGGATGGTTGGGAGGGAGGAGTAAACCTAGGTGGTGTTAAGATATCTAACTTGCGTTTCGCAGACGACACTACACTTCTAGCCTCTACTCCAGAAGAAATTATTAAATTATTAAAAAAACAATAGGTAGAAAGTGCTAAATTGTGGTTAACTACAACAAAACCAAAATCATGGTTATTGATCGCCAACAACGGTTTCCTGGAACCCAAACTATTGCGGGATGCGAGGTAGTCTCATCTATGATATATCTTGGAACTCTAGTTAACAACACAGGCAGTTGTGAATCCGAAATTAGAAGACGCATTCAACTAGCAAGAGCAGCAATGAGTGAACCAAACGGGGTCTGGCGTGATCGTCACATTACTATGACAAACAAAAAGAGACTCGTTTCAACTCTGGTCTTTTCCATATTTTACTATGCATGCTAGACATGGACAGTCAAAGAATCAGATCGACGACGTATAGACGCCTTTGAAATGTGGACATGGAGACGCCTGCTTCGAATTCCATGGACGGCTCGCCGTACTAATATCTCGGTTCTGGATGAAATTAAACCGGATCAGCGTCTCTCCAGTACCGTTTACTCTAGAATTTTAAAGTTCTTTGGCCATATCCATCGAAGTGATCACAAAATGGAGCGGTTGGTGGTCCAAGGAAGGCCTCAGACTCAACGCCAACGCGGAAGATCTCCACAGCGATGGGCGGACATTACTAAAAAGCTTCTCAATAAACAGTATACTGAGGCAATACATATAACTGATGACCGCGACCAGTGGAGAAATATTATCAATCAAACTGTCCGAGCTGCTGAAGCCCAATTATGAACCACAACACATCTACTAAGATGTTAATGACTGTGATGATGATAGCACTAACAACTACTTCTATCATGAAACAATAAAGCATTGGCGTTTTAAACCAAAGTAAACAATTTTTTGTTTTTTTTTTCATCAATAAAAAGGAATGCTTAAATAGTTTTTGCTTACTTTATCATTACCAAGACCTAAATGGGCAAGAAGTATCTATTAAGACAGTGGTACCGACTTTCGATAAATATATAGTTTTCTTTTCTAAATGTGAATTTTTGCATTTTACTTAATATTTACGAAACAGTCAAAATTGGGTATAGGACATTAGAAAATGTCTAAAATTAATTAACATACAGAGTGTTCTATTTAAAATAAGCAAGTCAGTATTGACCACCGTTATCTGATACACTTTGTATAAAAAGTTTTTATGGAAAAAAAAGCGCAACTATAAATACTAATCGATGTATTTGACCGTTTTTTCGAATAGTTCCTCATTTATTTAATAGCTAAGTTATTCCATTTGGCTAACACACAGTGCATAATATTTTTAGCATTTGTTTTTTAATTAATTAAAAACTTAAAAAATTAATTAAAACGGGAGACTATTATTATTTTTTAATTAATTTTATACTAAACCTTGTTTAACGATGTTTTAGGTATGGTTTCAAAACGCCAGAGCAAAATGGAGACGAAACCTGATGCGCCAAGAGGGTTCGAATAACAACAACAACGGCCAAACTCAGTGCCCCAATGGTCCACCGTCGGCAGGCTCGGGAATCGTCGACTCCAGCAGCCTCTCCCACCAAACCTTAGATGAATTGCACCACCACATACATTCCCAAAATTCACAAACTTTGAGCTTTAGTGATATTTATTAGGTGTTATGTTTAGTGATATTTTGTCGAAGATATTTATTTATGATATTAAAGTATGAAATTGGAGGAAAAAGTGTGATAAGTATTTTTGGAAATATTACATTCACAATATAACATAAATATGGTCATAACTTCTACTTCAATCATGTAATAAGCATTAGTTTTTTGTAATTTAAACATATTTTCTTAGTGCACCATGTCCTTTTGGAAGGATGGCGATGCAAATGGACATTGCAGCCTTGTCAACTGCAGCACGAAAGACTTCTGCTGATGAGTGATCAAAACATCTTTTCGCGTCTCACTGCCATGAGTTTGGCTACTGATTTTTTGCTCTATACTTAAATTTCAAATAGTATTTGGAGTAATTCATACCTTTTACCTCTTAACATATGACTCAAGTATGCTGTTTTTCCTCTCTCTGATCGTGCCCAGCAGTTCTTTTTGTTTACCCATATGCCGAAGTACTTCATCGTTGAAAACTTTTTGTATGTTTCCTGTCTGATAGAGGGCAGTAACAATCATCAGCACCAGCTCAACATTCGTAGTATTACCAAAAAGATGGAGTTCCTCATATTGCGATGATTATAGAATATTAAACTTGTTTATTATTCTGAGAACTGAGAACATAAAACCGAGAAAAATGCATATTTAACTTTCAAAACCATAATGTATTTTACGTTGGAACCTATAAAAAAACACATTAACGGTATTGTACTGTTTTTATTCAAAACAATGTGTTACATCCTTTAAAAATCCAGAAAATTCATGTTAACCACAATTTGTCCATTGAAAGAACCAGCTTAGTCATCTGAAACAGAAAATTGTCAATGCTTTCAATAATGAAAATAGGTTTCATTTTCAATAGTATTTCTATTGGGAATGATAGGTAATAATAAATACAGTAAAACCTGTCAATAACGGTCACTAAAAATGCCAGAACTATTGGCCGATATAAAAAGGTGGCCGCTAATAGCAGGTTTTGTAGTCCACAAATTTTGGTTTGGGGAACTTTAAAATTTACAGGCTAGTACAAGTGGCCGGTTTTGACAGGTGGCCGTTAACAGAAGTTTTACTGTAACACGGCTCGTTAAAAAGATCCCTACGTCTGGTTGAAACATCAGATTGTGATACCTTATACCTTAGCTGAGTAGGCTGGTAATGGTAATTCAAATTCTCCATTCTTCAATTCCGTAGTTGTTGAGGTCATTCGTTTCTTCAAGATGCTTGCCAAGAATGGTCCATTGTAAGAAGATCGATGATTTATGAGTCGTCTGTGCTCTGATGTGGGACCAACTTCTTTTAAAACCTGAGTTTTGAAAGGAGATTTTGGAACATACTTCAAGTCCAAAAATGATTTCCAGATTTTGATGATGAGGTTGAGTTAACTCCTCAACCTCTTCGTCAAAAAAGTTATTAATAAAATGTAATAAAAACAATGTAACCTCATTTAAACCGTCTTGGCAATTCCCTCGTGGTAAGAGTAAACAATTAATTAACTAGATAAGACGTGAACATTTAAAGTGTACATTGCTAGCTGGTGCTTATAGTACACGTCGTATGTCGCAATATTTGGGATTGGTACATTCTTTGCAAAATCAATACAAATTGCTTCCATTTTTTTCGTTGTACAAAAATACACCAGTACGTTTCGTACGATACGTGAACATTTGGATTTTTTTTGTGTAAACAATGAATATGTAAACAAAAAGAATTACTAAAAATAATCAAAGAAAGGAAAATGCAATACTTGGATCATATGTGGAGAGGCGAAAAATATGAATTACTTTAAATTATACTGGGAGGAAAAGTACAGGGCAAAAAATCAGTAGGAAGACGCCAGAACTCATGGCTGAAAGACCTGAGGAGATGATTCGATCGCTCATCCGCAGAAATCTTTCGCGTAGCAGTTTCCAAAGCCACAATTGCCATTTGGATCGGCAACCTTTGAATGGAGACGGCGCCATGAGAAGAGGAAGTACCAGCTCAAAGTGCAGAGGAAATAATCTTGGACCGATTAAAACTGGTCTATTACAAGGATGACTGGAGCAGTTTGAATGATTATGGTACTGCAATGGGAAAGACGGCGAAAAAACTATCTCATTATATTTCCCAAAAATCTTACTAAAAAGGTATACTGGCAGAAATTTAAAATCAAAACAATTCAGCATTAATTCGCGCTGAATTGTGAAGAGCGATTTTTGGTACTATCAGTTTGAAATCCTTGCTTTAAATATTGGTCCATTTTGGATTGAGTAGGGTGGATTAGGCCATAGGAAGGCGAAAAAAAGGAAGGCTCAGAACGAGATGGTTGGATGACGTGGAAGACGACCTGAAAACAATGAGCATAAGACAATGGAGAAGAAGGGCACAAGAAAGATCTGAATGGAAGGACATAGTCAGACAGGCAAAGACCCATTCAGGGTTATGATGCCAAAAGAAGAAGAAGATGGTGGATTAGGATAAATTGAAAATTTTTAAATTTTATGGCACAGTAATATATGTTCTATTGTTCTCTTACTGACCAAAAAGTTAAAGCTAAGGGATGGATAATTTCTGCTTTATAGATAAATGTTTTCCAATACTTTTAGTAAACTGCTCCGGTTTCAGTTTTCTAAAAAGGAGGCGGATCAATTTGGTCCAAGAAACTGATGACTTTAACTTCGTAGAATAAAACGTTTAAAAATTATTTATAAAGCTTTTCAGTTATGGGCTTTTCAGTTTTATAGAAAAAAAAAGGAAAGAAACATCGAACCCTATTACTCTAAGTAGCACCACTTAGTTAAGTAGCCAGTTTCTCAGCAATAAAGCTTATTCTTTAAGAAACTACGACATATACAACGTTTAGAATTTATTAGGAACATTAAAATTAAAAAATGTAATCTCCCAAAAATATTTATCACGGATATATATGTCAATATTCAGGTAAATAAACAAAAATGTTTTTGAGTGACACTTTAGCATTTAGTGTATACACAGAATGTTCCTTTACAAATAATGATATAAAGAAAGTAGGTACTATTAATTTAAAAATCCCTCGATACGAAAAAATCATTATATCAGGGCGCTAAACTTCTGGTATTCTTTGATTACGGTACTGTGGAGTATAAAAAATGTTTTTAATAAAACTTATGTAAATCAAAGACTTTCCAGTAAAGCATTTGTAAAAAAACAAATATCCAGGCGAAGATTGTGTAGTTACTGATGACCTTGCGCCCTTACCTGAAATCGGCCGGTTTGCTCTCCTAACACTTTCTTAATGGAGAATGTATATATCTAATTATTTTCTTATATCGACCGTTTTGTGCTCTCTGGTAATAGACGTTTAATTTTATTTTACCATAACGATCAGGTAACGGTTAGGCTAGTAAAATTAGTTTTAAAAAATCATAAAACTATTTTTTTTAACCTATTCTCTATCCTTCCATTGTTGGATATAGGTCTCCCCCAGTTCTTTCCATCTTTCCCTATCTTGAGCTATTCTCTGCCAAGTGGGACCTCCTTGTTTCCTGATGTCATCTTTCCACCTCATCTGTGGTCTGCCTCTTGATCTCTTTGCATTGTATGGACGCCACTTTCCGATGGCATTGTTCCATCGTCCGTCTTGGAGACGTTCATTGTGTCCAGCCCATTTCCATTTCAGTTTTGCTGCTTGTTCTATCGCGTCTACTGTTTTTGTTCTGGTTCTGATCCACTGGTTACGTTTTCTGTCTTTAAGTGATATACCCAACATTTGTCTCTCCATCGCTCTTTGTGCCTTCCTTATGACATCCAAATTGGCCTGTGTAAATGTCCATGTCTGTGCTCCGTAGGTGAGCACCGGTCTTATACAGTAGTTATACACCTTGCTTCGTAAGTATAGAGGGATTGTTTAATTTTTTAGAACGTAAGAAAGTTTGACGAACGCTGCCCATCCCATTCTTACTCGTGTCGATATTTCGGCTGTTTGATTTTCTCTGTTAGCTCTGATTGCTTGTCCTAGATAGATATACTCATTTACCTGTTCTATTTTTTCTGTTTATATTTTTATTGCCTCTTGGTCTTCCGTGTTTGTCATTACTTTTGTTTTGTTGAAGTTAATTTTTAGGCATTTTTGCAATGATTTTTCATGAAATTCATTAAGCATTAATTCTAGTTATTGTCGTTCAGAGGAGATCAGGAGTATATCATCCGCATATCTAAGGTGATTTAAGTACTTTCCGTTAATACATATTCCTCTGTTTTCCCAATATGTTGATTTTATTATAGAATGTAGGGGCGTAAATTTGTGTGATCTTTAAACTTATATTTTTATTTATGTCCATTATTAGAGCCACGATCATTTCTGAAATTCCAATATATTGTCTAATCTTATGGACATGCTGATTAGAAATAAGAAAACCGGCACCAGCTAATGATTCTTCTTCAGTTCCTTTATATTATAGTACGTTCCTGGATTCCAACTTCATACAGGCTTCATCTTTTCTTTTTATCTTAATCCTAGTATATCCCATTTTATCTTTCTTACTTCTTCTTCCAGTTCGGCTAGCTTTTCGTCTCTCATCAGTGATCTGATATTATAAGTTGCAATACCCAGTTTCGTTGCTTGTTTTCGTTGTTTCTGGCAGTCTTCTAAAACCCAGGATTCTTAGCACCCTCTGCTCTTTCCTCGATCCTACCGTTGCCTTGGAAGGTGAATCGGGATCTGCTGGGGACTGACGGCCAATTCTTACGTGTATCTGTCATAAGAGGGGGGTAGATTGGCCGTGAACTCGCCACGCTGACCAGACGGGTTGGTAAGTGTGTTTCAGCCGCCCACTCTGGGAACAGACGCTGTTTGCAGCCGCCCACTCTAGGTCAGACGCTGCTGTTGTGGCTGTATCACAGCCGCATAACTCATAATGTGAGTGACGCCTGTGAGAATCTGGAATTAAGCCTACATAATTTTTACTTCCCATAGCCTTAATCCAGTAATGGCATTACTGCTGCCTAATGTTGATGTCAGTTGATCCGCGGGTACTTATTTG